ATTTAGTGACTAAACAGTGGACACGAGAGAGTGTAGACGTCCTAGAAGTTCTAGTTCACAATATTCAATTTTCATATTTGCCGAACAACACAGTAGCTTCCTCAATCTATTACACACAAAGCTGTCTTAGCCACATTTTAAACTCAGTGTAGCTAGAAAAGTTTAGTAAAATTGATAGTTAACAGCTAATGTGGATTCATAAGATTCGTGTTTACTCGCGTGAGTTAATGTGAATCAAGGATCAATTCAGATTAACCCGCGCGAGATAATGTGAATCGTGGGCCCATTCAGATTAATTTGCGCGAGCTAATGTGAGTCGAGGGCCGATTCAGTTTAACTTGCGAGAGTTAATTAGAATTGTGGATCAATTCACGTTAACGCTAATGTGAGTATCGGTGGAAGAAATCAATTTCACGACTAATATCATGGTGATACCTCACTTTTGGTATTGTAGACTACCCGGGGTAACGGGAATCCCGCCTGTGTTTTCATTTCAATGAATATCCAGTTGATCTAAGGATTTGCAGTCTTTATAAACAGCTTGAGTTCAATAAAGGCAATCTGTGAATAAGATTGAGGGTTCTGTGATTATACATGTAACCAGTATTGGTAAGGTACGATGAGCATTCACGGATTTGAACTCCCCGACTGTAGTATAGCCCGGTAATTTTGAAGCAAAACACGAACGCACAACGATGCGGGGGCCAACCCGCACAGAAGTAGTAGCCAAGTGTATTCATGTAATCTGTGTCGTGCAAATCGCAAAGTGAACGAGATCATGAGCCTGGTGCTGACCTGCTCGTTCTCGTCAATGTGCTGCTAGCCACTCATCTTAGGCGACTAGGTAGCAAAGGAACTGGATATGAATGCCTTTCATCACAGAAAGGAAACATGCAGTTGGCAATACTAAATCCTAATGCAGTCCACGTGGACACTGATAGTCCAAGTGAATCGAAGTCCTCAGCTGACCCGGCGTCGGACACAACGGAAGGCATTCCGTACTCCACCCATTTACCGCAATGGCAGCCACATCCGGGTAAAGTTGCACAAGCCTGCAGGTGAAACTAAGGTGAAACTCCAGCACACCCCGAAGCTTGTTTTTACCTGTCCACATCGCAGCAGTCTCCGCCGCAACCACTACTCACCGAGCATTCAGTTACCCTGGCATCGGTCCTTACAGCGATGCTGGACACATGAAGGCGTCCCGTCCCGCACTACAGCTCTTGTTCGGCGACCTCGGGGAAGTGGAGGACCATCCTCGGCACCCATGTACTGCTCATTGTCTTCGTCCGCAGTCGACCCGGAACCGGATTGTGTTTCGACGTGAAGATTCTCTTCAGCCGACTGCTCCCCCCCTTTTTGGCGACGTTGTTGCTTTAGTCCGTGAAGGCGAGGCTGAGCCTGTCCTGCGTCACCCTGAGGCCAACGAAGATCACCCGCCGGCGACACTGTTTCGGAGTCTACGCTTGATCGCACTTCCTGCACCACCCCGTGTCTGCGATCTCCTTGTAGCCTGCCAGTGCTCACGGAGCTACTGGTCGTCGGTACTTGTCACATAGGTATTCAGCAGCACTGTGAACCCCTTAGCCAAGTCACTCATACGCTCGAACGAGTCCTCTATAGGTTGTAGACCTTTCCAGCAAACAAGATTTTCAACGTCTTTGGTATCACAGTTTCACCTGTATCTCTTTAGAAGCTCCATAGTCAGGACGATGCCTCGCTAGGACACGTGCTCCAGAAGCTCGTCTGTCACGTCCAGGCTATCGTCAGAATAGAACTTCAGTCTCGATGCGTGCATGTCCAGCTTGTCACCGGTCATGAGGTGCTGACAAATGTGTGTTGGATCGCGTAACTCGATACGGGCCAATCCACATCACCTGTAGCTTGTTACCATGTTTCTCGTCCACTCGAGATCGAAGGACGTAATCTTCCACAGTAAAGTTTATCAAATTCTCGCCACGTTCACGTTACTTGCTCAATAATCTCTGCTTCTACCTATTGTCCTCCATCGCAGAGTGCACTGTTTGGATGCTTTTACGTAGATCGGTTAGGTAGCCCTCGATCTCGGTACTGGCAGGGATAGTCTGGAGGCGACGATCATCGGAGAGGTAGAATTCAGTTAACGGTGTCGGGCACTCCAAACCTGTAAACAACTTCAATGGCGAGTGATTGCCTAGTGAAGGCACTGCAGTGTGATTTAAATTTGACTGTACCAACGCCACATAGTATGTCCAGTCCTTCTGGCTGATCTTGTACTCCAAAATCATGACACGGATGACTTAAAAAACGTCACGATTGATGCGCTCAGTCGATCTATTCACGGGCTGTATGCCTGCGTAAAGGACCGCTACGTGCGAAGCCGTCGACTCAGCTCTGCTACAACATCATTCTTGAAGTGATAGTCCTGAAGTTATATCCACGAAGGAGGTACACCGAAGTGAGAGTGCCACGCCAACAAAGCCTCCCCAGCTACTAAACTTTAAGCTCAATCAGCGACCACCAGTTCACAGTAGTGCGTTGCATGTTCTTTAAGAGCCAGCAGGTAGTTGCTCGATTCATATTTGGGGCCCTGATAACGAAAATCAAAGTGTAGAACCTTGTTGCGTTGTCTGCAGTCTATAAGCTCTCTCCACGGCCTCGGGATACACCCCCCCCGCGCGTGAATGCAGCCAAAGCAAACAGTCATTCACAAATGACGCCACGGTCTTCCAAAGGTGGTCAATCGAGCCAAAGTGTTGAAGGTGAGTCACCAATGCTTGTTGGCCTCGATGTCCCTAAACTCCACAATGAGCCACAATGCACAGCTCTGGACGAGATCAGCTGCTGCAGCAGGCACCCAAATGCGATCACCAACAGTGAGAACGCCGTCGTCCGAGCGTGCAGCAGCTTCTGGCGGAGGGTACTTGCTCTGTGCCTCCTTAATCTCAGCAAAAGAAAGTCACACAAAATTGTCAGCGTCGAGCGGGCAGAGTTCGGTATATTTGGTTGGTTGTCGAATTGGCTTGGGCCGCTTCACGGTGCCTGGGGAACATGGTTGCCTGCCCACCTTGAGCCCATATCGGCCCGAACATTGTCCGGCCCTGGTACGGGCTTCACATTATACTTAGATCCCATGAGCGTCATTGCCCATCGTAACAGCTTGCCCTTCACATACTTCTTGATGCTCTCGTTCGGCGCGAACAAGTGCACCAAATTCCGGTGGTCGCATAGAATGCGAAAAGGTTTTGGTCGGAGGAGAAGGTAGTCAAGCTCCTCGCAAGCAGTGACTATAGACAGAGCCTCCTTCTCGATTACAGTCCAGTTAAGCTGACTGCCTGTGAATGTACCTCTCATACAAGTTAGCAGCTTGTGCTGCTGCTCCGTCACAGGGATCTTTGAGACAAAGTTCTGTACTTGGGTCACGATCGCAGCCCAACCAACGTCGATGTCATCAGTGAAAAGGCAGGTAGTCGCATTATTGTCGCTGAATGCAAGATGGGCTGTTGGCGCTAATATCTCCTTCACTTCACCGTAGATCACACGCTTTTCCTGAGTCAACTCGATCTTGATCCCTCGCTTCGTTCGTTTAGTGTCAGCGAGTGCAGCATCAAGTCGTCGCTGGAGTGGAGCCACTTGACGAGCGTAATCCAGGATACTCTTACTTATCCAGCTAATAGCACACACAAATTGCTGTAACTCGCCAGCCGTCGTAGGGTACGGCATCTCGCGGAGAGTGTCAGCCCGTGCTGGATCATGTCTGACGCCATCAGCGTTAATCAATCGTTCACACCATCTCACCTCTGTCTGGTAGAGACTTGTCCTCTTAGCGTTCAGCTTAAGCCCAAACTGGTTCAGCAGAGAGCAAAACTCGGCGGGCTTGTCGAGGTAGGTGTCGATATCCTCTGCGTACAACAGAAAATCGTCAATTCAGATGAGGAGGTGCTTGTACAGCCAGGTAGCAAAACACTCCTCCATAGTCTTCTGGAAGTGGATCGCCGCATCGCTGCACCCTGAGGAACTCGCCGCGGAGTAAAGATCTTTTCATCTGTCATATATGAAACCACTCTTGGCACAACTCGATCTACGGCAACTGCCAAAATCCTTTGAGAAAGTCGAAAGTCCAAAGTGTTTCATTTCACTAGAATGTTCCTCAACTAGCGAAAGAATAGGCAAAACAGCGGCCATATGGTCGGTTTGGGCGTTCGTAAGTATGTAGTCCACCGTTTGCCATAGGTCCATGAGATCTGAGGATTTCTTGACTGGGAGCACAGGGCTCGACCATCGGCTCTTCGGATTCTCGTAAACCAATCCTAGTTGAACACGACGATCGTTAACTCGAGGAGATAAATCGAGGATGTGAGGTGGGTACTTTCGGTGCTTACGCTTTGTAGGCCGATCCCCTTCCCGTGGCTGCACCTCCAACAGAGGCACACTTGCTGGCGGATCTGCACGTAGCTCCAGACGCCAAACATCATACGCATATCCGAAATTTCTCCTCATGATCCAGCGGAAAACCACAGTTCATAACACGATCAATTAATTTCTTCACAACAGCGAAAATATCATTGTCACCACCAATAGACACACAGGCATTGGCATTTCCTCGGCCTCCAACTCAATTGAGCCACCGGCCATCTCATCATCTCCGCGACTCGCCAGCTGCTCCAGCTGACGGTCTACGTCGATCCCCAAAGCTGTCAAGAGATCGTTACCGACGATGAGCTTGTCGTCGTTCACGTCCACCACGAGAACATCCCCGGGATTCATCGGCTCCACCGGTCCCACTGCTGTGTGGATGCATACTCGTATTTTGCCATCTGCGCTGCCGTCACTTTCTGGTCACCGGAGGTCTAGTTCTTCACAGGGACCTCGAGCTGTTGGACTTAAATTTCAGGATCCAACACTCGTAACTTTTCCCAGTGTGAACTGCCAATAACAGTGTAGTCCGAGCCACTATCGGGACAATATGGCGACTCAAGTACTCCGTTAAACAATACAGTACGTGCAGCAGTCGGTAGGACTTAACCAAGTCGCTTGGTCTTTGCCTTCTTGGACTTCCGTCCATTGCGAAAATGTTTCAACGGCTCAGCTTTCTCCACTTCGGTCGCTACAGGACATTCCCGTAGCCAGTGCATCTCATCGCACTTAGGACAGGGTCCTGGCGGTGGGCTTGGCTTGTTCGAGGACTTGGGCTTCGGGTTTGACCCGGCGCTAGCTTTCTGGTCAGACTTAGCCGCAGTCTGAGTTTGGTATCTTTTGTTCTTCGACTTAAACGTATGCTTGTCCTTGGGCTTCGCTTCGCCACTCCAGGCCTCACGTCTCTGACACTTAAGACGGATGTGCTGGCGCTCCAGCTCGGTCGCTTTCTCCACGATGAGCCGGAACAACACCTTGGAGTCTTTCTCAGCTTCAGGATGCGTATAGCGGATGCACTGCTATACCTCCGACTTGAGCATCGATGGCTTCAACGCTGAGGTCAGCATCTCCCGCTTCCCACGCTCAAGGACGAAACACTCGCTCAAACCGTTGTCGTCGACGACGGTCTTGAAACACCTGAAGTAATCCACGACGCGAACAGTCACGTCGCTCTCCGCCAGATTCATCTTGAGCTCCTTCTTGAATAGGCACTTGATGTCAGACAGCGCCTATTTTATCACCCTAGCCACGATGTGCTCGATTTTAGCCGTCAGCATTACCTCCGTCATATCGACGACGTCCTCGTTCAGCTGCAACTCGCAAAACACCTTGAGGAGGTCGGCATCAAAAGAATCTCGGATGTGCTTCACCACCGCTTCAAACTTCTCTCCGGTCACTCGGCACCGATTGTGTAGCTTGGCCTCGTAGTCACGGCGCTCCTCGATGGAAACAGACTTGATCTTAGGTGGTAAAATCGGGAGGAATACCGATACTGCACCGGTTTAGGGTCTGTCTTCATCAGCTCCTCGCATTCACTTTTAAGTGATAAGAGCTGGGTCTTGATAGCTGCACACGGCGTCAATCAAACGGTAGACGAGCAGTAATAGATAGCCGCAACGTCACTAGCGTACGTCGATAGTGGCGCACGGACAATTAAATTTCTACTAAAGAATTCTTTGTAGTATAGCTCGGGAATTTTGAAGCAAAACAGGAGCGCACGACGACACGGGGGCCAACCCGCACGGAAGTAGTGGCCAAGTGTATTAATGTAATCTGTGTCGTGCAAATTGCAAAGTGAACGAGATCATGAGCCTGGTGCTGACCTGCTCGTTCTCGTCAATGTGCTGCTAGCCACTCATCTTGGGCGACTAGGTAGCAAAGGAACTGGACATGAATGCCTTTCATCACAGAAAGGAAACATGCAGTTGGCAATACTAAATCCTAATGCAGTCCACGTGGACACTGATAGTCCAAGTGAAATCGAAGTCCTCAGCTGATTCGGCGTCGGACACAACGGAAGGCATTCCGTACCTAGACCATTTACCGCAATGGCAGCCACATTCGAATGAAGTTGCCCCAGTCCCAGTCCAACTGCAGGTGAAACCACGGTAAAATCCCAGCACACACTATATCGCCCTGTGATTCCATTTCAATAAGCTGATTTCTTATTGCTGAGCAAGGAACTGCAGCATTCCCTCGAAACAAACGACAAAACGATCGAGTTTGCGCCGAGCAATCGCAAAATGATTTGATCTAGCACTCTGCTCGCAGATAAACTTCGGTCACCATACCGACTCTTAGTTATCAGGGGGGTTGCAGGTTTGCGGCTAAAATTTACAGGAACCATATTGGCTAGTGAAACATGCAAAACATTCGAGCCGTGAGAACCATGATCGTTTTATTGCTCCTTTCACCATATACCGGTACAACCACTATGATCCCAGCTCAAGCTCTTAAATCTAACTGGGTAGTAAAACCTGCAATCTGCTAATCTGCCAACCGTTTAAACCACAAATGAGCTCAAATTGTCCCCTTCACATTATCAATAGTTTGTTTAGCATTCTTTGGCATGGCCCTAGCAAGGCCGCGCACATCGACGATCAGCTGGAATCGTGCAACGCAGCCCCCTTTTGTGCCTTTGATAAGGACGATCCTGCAATCCTTGGTATTGTATATCCTGTCAAATGCAGTAGCCGATGACTATTTCTGCCATACTTTCACACCCAAAATCATTCTACACTGCCTTTGACCAAACTAGATCGTCTTCGACTTAAGAACGCGCTAAAGGCGCGCTCTTATTTTCCCGCTCCCAGCCCCCGGGAGATTTTTCTGCATGACTGGTCTCCCAAAATCATCGACAGCTTTAAGTGGGAGCGAGAGAACTTGGAGACGCGCTTCAAGGGCGAATGGTTTCGTGTATTATGGATTTTTAAAGTTTCGATAGGTAATGTGGACAACCCAAACTTGTTTGGGATGATTCAATGCACCTCATACGTGGGATTTCTCCCAGATTAAAAAAATTTTTGGTCGTAGCTGGGAATACATGTACTGTACAGGTTTCTGTTCGTTTCAATTAAACTGCGTCTATCACTTGGAAATCATGTAGCATGTTCCCGATTGTTTAGTAGTGATCCCTGCCCGCGGAGCTTGGTTAAATACGTTCAAGGTTTAAGACAGCACTTGTGGGTCGGCGCAGACTACTTCTTAGACGCCTTAGAGTGTGTTTGTGTGGTGGTGAGCAGATCTCTTCTTTCTCTCTTACTTGATTTGCCCTGATTCTGCTTACCACTTTGCTGTTGGCTCTCTTTTCGCTGGCGTCGGCACTCATACGCATAATGTCCGAGTTTGCCACAATTATGGCAGTCAATTTCCGAACGAGGACGTTTTGGCTGACCTCTGCCTCCTCCACGACCCCATTTCCGTTTATTGACGAACGACACGTTCTTTTCCTCGGACAGCGATCCTCCAAGCTGTGCTCCACCATTCCCATCCTGAAAATTTGCTTTCTTTCGTGCCTTAGTCTCTTTCACCGCTTTAGCCTGTTTCAGACGCTCTTCACGACCGGTGAGCTTGATTTTCACTTGCTGTAGAGAGATGTCATCTAAATTGTCGTAGGTTTCAACCATACTCTCATAAGTATCACCAAGACCAGTCAATAAAGCAGTTATAACTTCTCTATCCGAAACTTCCTCATGCATCAGCGTTAATTCCTGTCGAATGGCCTCAACTCTGTGAATATAATCACGGATCGATTCATTTTCCGGATCAAATTCGACATTTAGAAGCTCTCGACGCTTGAACATTCCTACTGCTTAGGACTTCTTCTCGAAATTATCAACCAGTGCAGCCCACTTGACCTGAGGACGCTTCAAATGTGCTAATCGGACTCGAGTTTCATCATCCAACGTATTCGTGAGGATATCATTCAGCACCAGCACCTTGTTCCGATATTCTTTGCGTTTCTGCTTCGTAGCACCCATGCCGTCCTTCTCTGGCTTATTCTCTCTTCCAATCAGGATCTTCCAGCACTTCCGAGCACGTAATGCCGCCTTAAGGCCTTCCTTGTATGCAAGAAAATTCTTGCCGTCGAACTTGAGCGAGCGGATAGTATCAACTCTCTGACCTTCCATGCTCTCTCGTTGGGCTCATAATCTTAAAGACGTACAAGGTTTAAGACAGCACTTGTGGGTCGGCGCAGACTACTTCTTAGACGCCTTAGAGTGTGTTTGTGTGGTGGTGAGCAGATCTCTTCTTTCTCTTCTTACTTGACAACCAGAACTCAAACTTTCCATACTTTCTGACAACCCCTCGTCTCAGAATTTAGCGCTGAGGTCGACCAGTTTCTTTTACTTGGAACATTGATCTAGCGCATTCTCGCGGTGGTACATCGATCCTGAAGTGAAGCGAGCTAGTAAGCGAAGCGTAACATTGCTGAAACGCTATTGGTTCCGCTATTAATCCCTTGGACGCGGAGGGGTGACAGGGATAGGCTAAACAAAATCCTTATACCCTCCCGGAGGGTATAAGGATTTTACTTGATTAAAGTAAGACATATTCTAGCGAAGAAGTTAAACGCACTTTTTTTGACGAGATTGTTGCTAAGCTCCTCGGTGATTATTCTGGTATAGGGGCTTGGTATGATGTGCGGGAAAAAATCCCCCAATCAACTGTTTGCCAGTCTATTTATGCAGCTCCGACATTTAGAGACCAGCAGGAGAGGCCACTCATTGACCACCGCATCAACACAGCACAAAGATAGCGATGGATGGCAGGACGGACACGACAGAGCGCCCCAAGAGAGACTAACAGGGGCATTGGCAACTACGTAGAAGGTGTTCTTAGCAAGATGAGTGACTTATTTGTGCTACCATGTGTTGTAATGCAGCTATATGTATTTCCCTACGGCTTAGCTAGGCTACGATCGCGAATATGACTTGCTTTTGGAGCGAACAGGCCATTCTGCCACAGGATGTGCCATATCTGGGCACAGGTCATGCCCTCGTTTGCTTGGTGTCCCCGCACCTTGTTGCAGAGTGTCACCTGCCCCTTCTTGCCTTCGGAGCACTTCGCGCAATAGAATGTAGACGTTCCACCCCTCTTCTTGCCTGTCGGTTTGTAGTAGGAGCAGACCTTGTATTGCCTTTGGCGCAAACGATGGACACCGTTGTTTAGACGGGTGTCGGTAGTTTGGACGAGGGAATGGTCACCTTGGATAGCGATAGGTTTTTCACGCACTACAGCCGTAGGCTCAGTCGAAATCCCTGCCTCCGTAAAGGATGACTCCGTCTCCTGAATGAGCTGTCTGTGTAGAGTTGTCAAGAAAGAGTAGTGTGACATCTTCTTCTTGCGTTCCTTCTCCCGTGTACAATGTAGGCGTTCACCACCGCCATGTCGACCACTCCAAGAAACAGGCTTTTGTAGTATTTCTGGAATCTGTTGTTCGGGACAGCATTAGATGTTTTTCATAAGCTGACATGAACAGCACATCACTTACCTTGTCGACAACTGCATAGAGTATGACTGGAGTCGCAACTGGTCGTGGCGATCAACGCCGCCCATGTAGCGTTGATATTCATCAACCAAACCTGGACACGGCACCGTTGACACCGCTCCATTCTTCTCCCTCCGTTGCACCGTTGTCGATGCCGCGGTAACTTGAGACGACAGGAAATACACCGAACGGTTGTCTACCCAGCCGACAGCAGCAAGCCCCGGATTACTCTTCGCTACGGCCATCCTGAAAGAGCCTCGCTTGCACGTGGCTGGTCGTTTCTTGAATGGATACTCTACGGCTTTTCACCAACCCTTTCGATTTGTCTGGTTTGTGCCTACGTAGTTGAATCCCATGGTACGGAGCTGTTGTGCCAGGAGAATCGACGTGTAGAAGCGATCAGCAATTACAACACGGCGTCCCGAATATGGAAGTCCCCGGAATGCACACGCCACATTTCGTACATCTGCAGCTGGTCCGCTCTTTGTATCCATTGCCTGTGCACCATCGACATCGAATTTCCTGCCAATATCAACTTCCACTCTAACACGTTGCCGTACCCATGACCCGTCAGCATAACCTCGAAAATAAAAGATGACAGCGTCAGCTTACCTTTTGCAGTATCCTGATTCCGCGCAGCACGTCATCACACACTTGGTACCCCATTTGTGGGGTTTATCCTTCAAGTATTGACGAGTCGGATTCTGGTGGTTCATCGATGGCAGCATACCTTCGTCAATAGCCACACCAGAGCCGACAACGTAGCCTTCTTTGAATGTCTTCTCCACCGTTGACAAGGCTGGTCTGATTTTCCATGCACGGTCACTAGCTGCTCCAGGGTCCTTATTGTCCGAGAAATGAAGAAATCTCGTAATGTCTCGAAACCGATCTCGTGACATCACTTTGCCGAATGTTCCAGCGGGAATCAGACCGGCTTCAGCTGTAGACCAGTGCATTTCAAAACTCTTACGCGGATTCAAAGTGTGCGCTAATATCAAACCAATCCATTGAACAATTTCATGCGGCGCAATCCTCTCAAATCGCTCCAACTTTCTGCGCAACTTGTCTATACTCTTTTGTGGTCGATGGGTCACTTGTGCCTCTTTCGCGACAACCTTTTTCAGGCGAGCGTCAAACGTCTGCTCCCTGTAGCGATGTGTCTCGCGCGCAACGTGCCTCCAGAACGCCCTCGGCAGGAAGTAGAAGAACAGGGAAAGTGGTGATTTGGCCGATGCCAAGACATCTTTCGACGGTCCACAGTAACCTTCGTACATTTTGTCAACTTCCGGGTCGTCGACAATGTCCGCAACCTCATTTATAGGGTACACGGTCCATCCTTGAGCCGCCATATCAGCTAATTGGTTGTCGTCGAAGACTTCGGATGACCCTGTCAGCATAAATTCAAATTAATAAACTGACTTTGTCATCACAACACACAACGTCTTTCAACATACCTTCCACTGCCATATGTAGCCGTTCCAACTCGGCCTCGTTCAACAAACCGGCAATTCGCCTCAATTCGGCAACAACCGATTCGTCAACAAGAGATTCGTCTTCATCGTCTGTGTCCAGCATATCTGCAACACCGACTAAGTCTTTGCCCTCTCCATCCGACTCGATGCTCTTCTCGACCTCGCCGAGGACGAGATTAGGATCACTTGGCTCTGCGTCAGCAAACCCAAGGTGCTCGAAATGAGTCTCTACAGCAGCCGGAGCTCGAAGCGAAGCGACTTCTGTGTCCACTCCACCCTTATTATCCTCTCGATCATCACGTTCGGCTACTGAATTCTGTGCAACTTCTTCGTCTTCATCATCCCCTTCCGATTCAACAGCGTTGTAGTCGTCTTCGTATTCACTTTTCGAGCCATCACCGGAGTGACCGTCAACGTCGTTTTGGGTGTCAGCATATCGGGGGTTGACTTGGTCAACATTACCTGAAAACCATTTGTGTTCTTGTCAGCATTGTAATCAAGTCAGCATATGCGCAAAACCACATACCTTCCGTGTCAGCATTAAGGTGGTGTTCTGGTTCGGCGGCAGGTTGATCCGGAGCCTCTACCTCTTTGCCGTCCCTGTCTAAACATTCTCCAAGTTAGAACCAACTGTAGACACCACACATCAACATACGAACATACCTTGAGCATTGGCACCACCCCAAATGTTTGTGAACGAAGACAACCGGCGGCGTCGCTCTGTAGCTTCTTCTGCTTCTTGCTTTTTGGTCTTCTTCATCTTATTGGGCGTTTGCCGTTTTTCATACTTCTTGTCTGCAGAGTTACAAGGCCCCACCGTCTTTGAACGTTTCTTCGGTGGCTGTTCCCTGCTTGTAGTATCTGCTCTCTTGGCTGAGGTCTTTCGTGTACTTGAGACGAAGATGGTAAAGGCTTTGCACCAAAAACACACAAAACGTCATCATAAAGCACGAAAAATGTTTAGAGTGCGCATACGCTTACCGAGTGGAACTGCATTGGGACGCACCATGATGTTGGTGAGATTGAGGCGGACGCACAGGTCCTTGTCCGCCTTTACGTGCGCAAGCAACGCATCTTCGCCGTTGAAGAAGTTCACTCCCTGCTTGCCGCCCCGAATCTTGCAGCCAGGCTTCATCTAGTTCGAGCAACAGCAATATATAATCAAAGTTAGTAGGGATAACCGCATCAATATCATAACACTTACTGTATCTGTAACCCTTTTGCTGGTTTCCATGTCCACCCTTCCTTGCGCAGTAGCGGCCACACAACTTTGAAATCCACAACGTACTCCATTTGCTGTATGGGGCTCGGAATGAAGATGAGTGGTGACCACGAAAGGGGAACCGAAATTTGATATTTTGGGAAAATAAATAGTCCGGCTCTTACCTGCGGTACTTCGGTACTTCAATCCGGCTGTAAATGTTATCCAATAGAATTCGTTGCTTTCAAAACGTGGACCAATCAAAACCTTTTCAATTTGGGAAGTGTCGACGATGGCAGTTTGCGGATTTCAAGCCATAGTGAAATCAAGTGTTTCTTATGCTGTTCAGAACAGCATAATACATTATTGCAAGGCTCCGCGTCCAAGGGGTTAATTAAGTCGTGCCCTGCTGGAGAAGCTCTGAAATTTCAATTTTGAGGATCAACGTTTTTATAATTCTAGCTATAAGTTTTGTAGCTGGTAACTAAGTTTAACCAACATTCATTATTCACGTTTATTTTTTTCTCCGATATTGTAACTCAAGGACTAAATCATACGAAGTACAGTAGGGTTAGCAAATTGTGCAGCAGCAAGATGATAGTTTTTTTCAGCGACGTGATTGGTTAGTAAGGTTTGAGCCATCAGCACCAAAACTTGAACTTTTTTTTCTTGCGTTGAAGTTCCTCAAGACCAGCTAATGAGGTAAGAGGAAGCGTGCTGGACCAATGCACGGCGTTGGAGGTGAAGCTCGCACGTGTGCACCGCCACCAGCTTTATCGACCCCTCCTCTTGTTGGAGACCAAGGCGACACTCCGCGTGCCACGTTGCGCCATGGCGAAGCCCGCTTGTGCTCTAGCGAGCTACGCACCGCAGTAGAACCGTTGATGACGCTCACGAAGCCGCCAACTCCGTCATGTTGAGCTCAAAAGGTGCCGCGGATGCGCCAAGTAGTCGCATAGGTCAAATAAGAGCACACTTGTCTAAAGACTGGTGATCAGTGTATTTTAACTCAGCCACTTCAAGCAAGTGAATGATCGCGGGCGGGGCTGACTGCGTTCAAGCCTTTGTCTTGAGAGCTTGTCAGTGACAAAGATGTTGAGCGCCCAGCACGTAAAGAGATGACGGACACACGTCACGGTATTAGCCGTAAACAAAATATGCAAATCTTACGATGACGATAACGAACCGTCTGGCACGAAGCGCTTGACTAGGCCGTCCTTCTCTCACAACGCTTCCGCTACGTCACAGATAGTTGGCAAAGATTCAACTTTGTGTATCCCCGATGGGCTAGCGCCGGCGGGCACCTTCAACGCGTCTTCATCAGTGTGCCGCTGGAAAAATTGCAAGAAAGTGGCGAAAATAGGCAACAAAACCTCTCTTCGTTCCTGCATAAATATTGGGTGTAGGATAATGCGTCCTAAGACACGTCCTAAACTGTCCTATTTGTCCTAAATTTTACAGGGAGATTTTGGAGATGTGTCCTAAAAAGCGACTAATCCTTCGTTACAGAATATTATAATTTGTGTCCTCCAGATTGTCCTAAACCTCAAATATTAACTTTTTCCGGACTATCTACGTAAATTTACGTAAGAGTTACTTAAAACTCACATTGGCTTTACTTATTGTCCTATAGCACACCAACCATTTCTGAATCTCCACTACTGCAGCCAAGCATCATGGACCATTGCGGCTACTCCTTCTGCAGCTAGGGCGCTCGCCTATCTGGCCTCTGCTGCCACCTGCGGAAGCAGTGTCTTGTCCGCTCTGCTCACGAGCGCGAACATTCAACAGTGCGGCATGGACCACTGAGATCCCGGACCAGGCCCATTGACAAGATGTGCGCCTCGACTGCCTGCAACACCCTGCTCGCTGACGTGAAGGCCATGAACCTGGAGGAGTGCCAACTGCCGGTCGGTGTCGGTTCCAACCTGAAGGCCGACCTGGTAGTCTACGTGCCGTCCAACTGCCCATCGTCGTCGGCTCCCAGCCCGGACTCGCCTGCCACAAACGCACCTGTTGTCGACGCCAGACAACTCGATGAACCAGGCCGAGCACACTGCCGCGCTAACCAAGACCCCCATCGCTTGCTAACCGCGTCTTCGGATCGACTTGCAGCCAAGTAGCCCTTGCGAGTACTTTGCTGCTTTTTGAGCCCCCCCCCCCCCCTATGTCGTCACGTTCTGATTATTAACCGTCGTTTGCTATGTGCATGTTGAAGTCGCTCAACCGTTATTAGCGGCTATTATTACCTGCAATGACTATCATCCTTTGAAACACTTTAAAAATATTGTCACACACTTTGTAGTAGAGAAGTTTTGTTGAGGTGCTTTTCGCGCACAACAAAGAATCGGCTGCTCTTGGAGAGAGGGGCTTTAAGATGTTTATTGTTTCTAGCTAGGCCAGTTGAGGATATGGCTTGAGGACAGTGCATGTTGGGCTTGGTGTTGTCCTAATAGGACAGTGGTCTGAGTTGCAGTCTGTCCTAATAGGACAGCTAAGTGTCCAGTTGTCGAGTGTCCTATTAGGGGCTGGTCGGCCGATTTATTGCTATCAGTGTCCCGTCAATAGCTCCACAACACAACGGAAAACCCTGAACTCGGTGGAAAGCAGAAACTTCAATCTCCCATTCTTCAGGCGTAGCTGGTAGCTTTATGTAGGCTGACCGAAGCTGTGTTAGTACACGTACGATTGAGTTAACATTTACAATACACCATGCCTTTGATACACCAAAAGCCTGAGCTGTTTCTCTAAAACCACCGCTAGAACCTAAATGAAATATAGTACATGCAACGACTCGTTCAAAACTATACTTTTTGTACGGTTTTTGATCGAAATGCCCTCGAAGCATACTGCACAGCTTTCGAAAAGTAGCCTGCGAGCAGCGCAAATGGCGGCAAAGCCAACCATTGTAACACTGTTCGTCTAGCATAGTTTCGAAAAGCTATAGCACACTGAAACGTAAATACGTTCACAGGGGCATCCCTGTGGAACATCAAGCCACACACGAGAGCGGCACTAGCAGCTACGGTATGAGCAGCAAGAGCAACAACTTGGGGCTGGCTTGGCATCGTCAAAAGCACGGTGTCTGCAAAATGCAAAATGCTGCCAGCCATCCACTGCCCAACGAGAACCCGGATACTCAACTCTTTTGCAAGTTCTCAAGTTGTCCCAAAGTAGTAACATTAACCTACCCCTCAGCTGGAGGCAGCCAATCACAGCGCTCTTTACACCTAAACCTAACTTAAGCACCAGACCCAGAACCAGCACCAGCCAGCGCGACCAGCCCCTTAGGACACGCTGGACCCTTGCTTGTTTCGTCCTAAACCTCATTGTGTTGTCCTAAATATGGGTTTGTTTATGAGCCGAAGTGCTAGTTTTTTATCCCAGGTTTTAGGACAATAGGACACTTTAGGACTCCTAGTAGGACGCATTCTCTCCTACCAAATATTGGATAAGGTCGTGGAGCGCATGCTGTCTGTGTGGCAGCCATGCTGGATAAAGTTGGTGCAGCGAGTGACTTTAGCCAGCCGATTTGTGGGAAGTGGGGCTAAAACGCTCTCGTAAAGACGAAAAATAAAGCGGCAACACCTCGTCCACAAGAAGAAAAAATCGGGTAACGATGAATCTTCCGAGGATATAAGCTCGCTGAGCGTACTGATTGACTGGATGACTGGTAGTGATGATACTGAGCCAGAATGAACAGACTAGAATTTTTGTGCTGGGTTGGAGGGCGTGTATCCATTCCAACCAGCAGATTTGAAGCAGTAAACATGCTGCTGAACTATTTAGCGAGAATTATAACGAGATTGATATATAATTCAAACAATTCGTGTTGCGTTGTCTACCGACTTCAAGTCACTGTACGTGTAATAAATGCTAAAAAAAAAAATGCATGACATCGCTGTGCTTCGTGACCACGATATCCATTCCATGCGCTTCGTAATAAGCTTGGTGCCTCACTAGATCAAGTGAAGCACCGCCATACGGCTCCACGCTTCCTTCCGTGACTGCTATCTTTGTTTCCTGCAGGCTGGAAACGACCTATGAGGGCCTGGCTAGTGGCATTAGCTCCTGTCTCCGCAGAATCTTGAGTCTGTTGGACATCTGCCGTGTCTGCTTGCTCAAAGGCATCATCAATCCTGTACGAGTAGTCGTTATCTTGATCCAGCTCACTATCAAAACTTGGTCTGAGACGACGGACAGAGCTCCGCTGAGGATATAGAGACCAACGCATACGCGGTGTTCTCTGACGTGAGGTTGGATTTCTTGCAGTAGGTTCCGTTTGGCGTACTCGCGAAATTGGAGATGGCGGGCTGCGATTCGAAGACGTCATCTCTCGAGGGAATGGCCGCCTAGTAGGCGTTGCAAGCACTTGGTCAGCGGTGATAGGGGTCGCATTCTCGCGCTCGACGTGCGCCGGATTCGTTGAAAGTTTCTTTTTGGCTTGCTGGGTACAGTCGAGATCAAATGACTATAATCGGAGCAAAAGGAACAGTTCTGAACGTTCTGAACAATTAGAACAAAAGGATCGTTCTGAACAAGGGTTGCTCCAAACCAGCACTACTAAAAATGCCTTTGCAGAAAAAAATCTCGGTTTTGATGGCACAGGACGGAATTAGAACAGTACGAATGGCAAAAGATATCACTAACAAGATATCTTTGTGGAGAAAACGTTTACTAAAGATAGTTGTGCACGCATTCACTAGAGATTCCAAGAAATACAACTATCTTGATCACAGAATTATCGTTACTGCGCTCCTAGATACTTTAGCAGTGTGAGCATGTGTATTTCGACTCCTCTACGAAATAGTTTGCTGCCCTTAGTCAAGAAAATAAGATCGTCCCTAACAAGATCGACCAGACGGAAAAACACAACTCGGCCGAGTCTGAAGTGGTCCGTGAAATTCAGTGTCGTTGAGATAGTCGTGGTCGTACAGTAGCGTTCGCCAAGTGATCTTTTCGGCGGCGATACTTTGCCGGTCGAGCAGAGTAACGAGAAGACTATACTGTACACATTCATAATATGAATTTTATTCAGCATGCCAAAATTCATCTAGCTCGTCCTCGGATGAGTCGTGGTCACTCAAGTTAGCTCGCTTTGTCTGTTTTGGTGCGCGTCTCGATGATGTGACTTATACCACGGAGCTCCTATCTTCTTGCTGATGATCGTGGCATCTGGACGCCAACTTTCACGCCGTAATGCGACGACGCGTCGCTTTATGTGCAGCAGTCAAAGAAGAAAAAAAAACTAATAGTTGCTTGGCTCGCGTTGGGATTGGCTATAATAAGTTTCCTGGTCTTCAAGAAAAAAATCTTTGCTTGCTGCTGCACAATTGACTACATGTTCCCTAATGTAAAGATAAATGGAATTCAAACTACAGGTATAGCATTGAGGTATAAACGTTTCCAACAGCCGTGACTAAAGCTACCGGTACAGTAGATACTCAGCATTTTGATTATCTTGTTGAGTCCATACCTCTTTCGAAGGAGCTATTGCGCTCTATCCGACGTCAGCTGCCAAAGAAACTGGTCCACAAAGAGCCCCTTTGATGTAGAAGACTGTTAAGTCGAAGAAGAAGGGTAAGAACCCAAATTATCAACTGAAGTACTGTATTAAGTAGTACTACTGTAGTACTACATCAGTATATCCCAACTAATGTATTAATACTGTACTACCTGTACGAATACTGAAGCGTTATCGGAGCGCGAAGACACACTGGGCAAGACCATTTTCTCTGAGTTTTTTTTTGTTCGTGTCTATGTAATCGTTGCTTAGTCTACTTTTTTTTCTTCTCGGCTTTCCCTGTTGTCGACGGGCTAAGCGTCTAAACAGTAACTGCAGGATCCTGTCATGCGCCCGGCACTCGAGTCTCCGTCTCCGACGCAGCTTCCTGTCCTCAATCCGAAAATGTGCTTCGCTGTCCATACTTTCGCCTCGTCGCGTCATGCCATCGTCTCAGTTTTTCTTACTACTGAAAAGTATCTATGCCGTCTTCTCGTCCGCGAGCGCTTCATCCTCCGCGAGCTTGATGTACCGCGGTACACCATACCCACCCTCCGCATTAGGCCAGACCCACATCTGCCATCCTTGACGGAGCCGAATCTTCTCGTTCTGTTCGTCCAGTTCCACCGTTTCCGACTGCTTCATGGCCTCCAGAAGAGACTCGTAGTCCTGGTGGACCGAGTAGACTGCCTGGAAGCTTCCCACAAAGGCTAGCGGGACAAATCCGTCCACATCCATGTGTTGACGCAAGAAGATATCGCGCACTAGGTTGTCCGACGTAAAGTAGAATTCACTGAGACGAGTTTGTCAAGATGGACCATTGTTTCAAAACGTGTCAGGTCACCAGTTAGCACAGCTTAGAGAATCTACAGTACAGTGATAGCGCAAGTCTTGTTGTCACGTACATTTGGTTCTTGGCCCATTGGGCAGTCACCTTGAGGTCAGGCGTAGGCACGTACACACCATTAACGTAGGTGCCGTTGCTGTCTCCCTGTTGACGACGTCCTCCGAAGCGTCCTCCGCTGCGTGGGCCACGACGTCCCTGTTGCTGTCCTCCACGCGTCCGCACATCGGCTGCAGCGGTTGCTACTGTGTCCACCTGAGTATTGTCGCCCTCGGGAGCCACCACGTTGTCCTCGCCTTCCATCGGGAACTGCGACCAGTTGAGTTTGCCCTTGCGCTTAGGCTTGAGGGCGCGCGAAGCGGCAGCGGTCTGCGTCTTATCGCTCACCTCCTCAGCCTCCACTAGACGGTACTTAACGGCGCCCTCGGGGGCCTCTGCTTCCATCGCGTTCATTCCCATTCGACTACGCTGCTTTACTGGTTCGGCCCTTCGCCGCCAGTCAAATGTTGTGTTGATGTGGTGTGGTGTTTAACCTTTCAGAATGCATATCGATTTGCTGCATAAAAACTTGACTTCTAGGTTGCCCTAACATGTTAGAAATAATTCTAAGCCATCAGCTGGCCTTATGTTGCAGAAAGATCGTAGAATTAATGATGGGAGAAGATCGAAGAAGTTTGCTTTATCTCCTTGGTTTAGCAGCTACAAAAGAATGGAGTCTAGCCATCTCAACCGTGCCATTGACAGTGGTGACGTAGGGCTCGTCACGGGGGGATTGTTCTCCATGTGTCGATCGCTTCTAAGAGTAGGAGCCATTTAAATGTAAATACACTTAAATGTCAACTTTAGGGAACTAATCAGGAAGTATGCACAAATGCAAATGTGCCGGGCAAAAGGCCGCGACAGGACTGCGGTGTCTGGCGAGGCTGCTCTTCTCTGCTGCTCTCTGGTGAGCGGCAGGCGTCAAAACGCAAAGTGTTGAGCAGCCTCCGCCAGAACACCGCTGTACCGCAAAAGTAGATTAGTATACAAATAGCAAATAAGTCAATACTAAACTCTAGATAAATGCACTCTCGTTTGAGTACACCATCTTGGCAGCGCACAGCCAACGATGTCCCTGTGCATACAGTCCTTGGTATAGTCCTTCGCCATTGCACGCATGTGTACTCAGTGTAGCCGGTTGTAGTGCAGCCGCAAGCTGCACTGCCAGGCGCATGAGTGTCCTTGGGATGTGTCTTTGCAGACACTGGCAGTGGACGGTGGCTCGTAGATGGGGGCACCGGACACTGGCAGACTGCAATGCACTGGCGCTCGACACGCAGGTAAGTTTTATAGCTCACACTCCCACTTGATCTCGGCGACGCACTTGGAAGTCGACGCGATCACACACGCGCATCCTAGTTGCCGCCATAGTCCTAGTAGTAGCGTAGTCGCAGCTCAAAGACAATAGCAGTCCACTCAGTAACAGCACTCCCACTCGATCGCCCTCGTCTTCATCAATGTCGCTCAGGTACAGCCTCCGCATCAACAGCAGTAGTCAACGCAGTAGCAGTAGTCTTAGTTGTAGCCATGTCCTCGGATACGTTGTCGTCGCTCGACACAATAGGTAAGACTTTCATAGCCTTGCGAAAGTGCGTGAACTTCACCACTGCAAGTGCCTTTGTCATTATATCGGCCACCATCTCATCAGTTCCGATGTGTTGGGTTGTAAGTTGCTTCAACTCCACATGGCGTCTGATCATGTGGTACTTGTTATCGATATGTTTCGATTTCGAATGTTTGCCAGGTTTCGCAGTTAAGGCAATGGCTCCTTGATTGTCTCCCAGTAGTTGAGGTGCTGGATGCTTCCAGCTCTTTGCATAGGCCAGCAAGCCACAACAAGTCCTTGGTCGCCTCTGCCATTGCTACGTACTCAGCTTCACAGGTACTGAGCGCGTTGATCTCTTGCTTGCGAGATGCGTAGGAGATGACGTTGTCGTCCAGCATAGTGATGTAGCCACTGATACTCCATCAATTCACAGGGTCGTTCGCATAATCAGCATCAGAGTAGCCACTAACTTGCACATCAGTCTGTAGCTTCACATTCATCACTAGTCCGTAGTCACATGTAGCCATCAGGTAACGCAGCACCCTCTTGGCTTGTGCGAAATGCATATGATCATAGCTCGCAAGATACTTGCCCAGGTGTCGGGTAGCATGAGCTATGTCAGGTCTCGATGCACTAACGAGGTACTGGAGAGCACCCACCAGTTCTCTGTAAGGAAGATACTCCTTCGAAGCAGGAACGTCTGTCTTCGAGGGCGTCGTAGCTTCTGGTGTAGCACAGCCATTACAGTTCTCCATATGAAAACGCTTCAACACCCCCAGTACGTACTGCTTCTGGCAGTACACTATTTGCCGGCGCGGCTGGTCAATCAGGATCTCGACGCCTAAGAGATATTTGACTGTGCCCATCGTCGTGAGCTCGAATGTCTCTTGCAGTGAGGCAGCGATTGTGGCACACAGGTCACGTGAACCCATCAGCAGTAGATCGTCCACGTAAACCGTCAGTAGCAACTTGACCTCACCATCCTTCCTCAATGCATATAGGCCGTAGTCAGAGTCCGTCCTAGTAAAGCCCATCGCAACAAGCTTCGCATGAAGCGTGCGATTCCACAAGTTTCCAGGTCTTGTGACCCTTCAACGATTGAAGTTCCACCGACATTGCAGCTCTCCACTGCTGCCAGTACTTGCTCGCACGTGCTCGTTTGTACGTCGTCGGAATCTGCACATCCGTAGTCATAGCCTGCACTAGGCCTACCACGTAATCCGACAATCGAACGTTCACCTTCTGCTTCCTTCTTGGTCGCTTTAGGCAGGGATCTCTTGATGGAGGTTGAATCTCGAAGCCACTTGTCTCCTTCTCCACCATTGCAGGTTTCTTCTTTGTTCTGCGTCTCTTGCGCTTCCTCACTTCCAAACCTTCCTCGGTTTCTTCAGCAGGATCCTGCAACACGGCTAGTGCTGCAACACCAGCAGTCTCCGCACTGTCCTTGCTCACAGGTGCGTCAACGATTGACAAACTCCCACTTGAACTTAACTCAGTTTCTGCAAGTTCGTCAGCAAGTGGTACCGCCTCAAGTGGCTTCTCTGCACTAGAGATGCCGTCACTCCAACCTGGAAGGTACGTCTCCATGTTGGTCTTGATGCGCGCCACAGGTACAGTCTCGCGTAGAGTATGATCACCATCAAAGAATGCGTTCTCTAATAGATGCTTCATGTAGATGCCATCGGTTGTGAACTCTTCATGGAACTTCACATTCCCACTACGAGCTGTCACCACTTGAGCTGTCACCAGGTCAATGAACTTGTAGCCTAGAGTCGATTCGCTATAACCCAGTAATAAACACAGTCTTGCCCTTGCTTCCAGCTTTTCTTTCGCTTGTCTTGACTCAGGGGGAACACGCACGTGTGCCAGACAGCCCCAAGTACGCAAATCATCCAGCATGGGCTCCGATTCGTACAGTTTCTGGTGCGGGGACACCAATCCTAAAGGCTTGGTGGGCAACCAGTTCAACGTCGTCACCACATGCAGGAAGGCTTCTCCCCACAAGGAGTTGGGCATGTGTGTAGCCATCAGCATCGCTCTGATCCTTGGTAGAACCACGCCATTAGCACGCTCCACAATGCCGTTCTCTTGAGGAGAATAGGCGTTCGTAAACTGCTGCTCAATCCCTTGGTCGACGCAGCAGTCACTTAGTTCCTTGCTTGCAAATTCACCTCCTTGGTCAGAGTGTAGTCGTCGCACCTTCTTCTCAGGAAAGCGAGTTTGCAGCCTGTTCGGCAGGACCTTGATGTGGAACGTTGCTTCACTCTTCTTCTTGAGTAGGAACGGCCACTTGTACCTTGTAGACTCATCTATGATAAAGAGAAGCATTGTAGCTCCATCCACAGACTGTTCGTTCACAGAGCAAATGTCCATCATGAGAGTCTCCAGAGGTTCGGACTTCCGCGATGGAATCCGTTTATACGACATTCGTTTTGCCTTACTGGCAGCACAAGCAACGCACTCGTAGGAAGTCAGACCTTTTGCATTCATCTTAGCTCCAACATCGAGTTTGTTTGCCAACACTTTCACCGTCTCCATGCTCATATGACCAAATCGTTGGTGAAGCAGCTCCATGGCTTTCTTACTGTCCATGTCCTCTTTTAGAGCCGCCATCACCATTACTCCGGTCACTCTTTCTGCACGTAGTCGGTAGATACTGTCACGCATCATGAACTTGAGTGATGTGCTTGGCTTGAGATCCAAGCATTCTGTTGGTCCTCTGAGCATGTCAACTTGAAGTTGCCCTTCGTTTGTAGGTAGCCCAAGCTAATGATGTTCACTTCGCGTTCGGTGTGTACACCACGTCGTCCAGG